GCAGTCCAATGACTAAATCATTATTTTTAAGTTTATTTATTAGTGAAAAACTAGCGTGTCCAAGCCTTTTATGCCATAGCAAAGGATCATTATCAATAACACTCAAACAAGTCATACTAATATTAGGCAATGAGTCAAGATCTACTTTATATGTATTTTCGAGCCTCTTGCCTTCAAGTATAACTTGTTGTGATTTGTTACTAACAATGCGACAAACGTTATGATCAAAAACAACACTATTACCTCGATCGCAAAATTGAGAAATACTGAGTAAATTAAATTTCAAGCCCTTGACTAAAAATACATTATCAATAGCATGGCTAGGTGACTTTCCAACTTTACCCACGGCTATGATCTCTCCTTTGCCGTTGTCTCCAAATGTCACCTTTCCACCGTTAAATGGCCGAAGTGAGAGGAATAAAGATTTGTCTCCCGTCATGTGCTTAGAACAACCACTATCAAGGAACCAGTGATTGTTCCCCCTCACTCGGCGCTGTTCCAGGTTTAAGGTTTAGTGCGTGGAACCCAGACCTGCTTGGGTTCCATTTTGTATATATTTGAGGAAGATCTAACATAATCATAACATCTATCAAGGGTCTCTTGCCGAGAGTGACATTGATACCGAAGATGACCGATTTTGCCACAATGCATGCAAACTCGGTTATCATAAGTATCAACGTATTTGGGTTTCCATTTACCATGAAATCCTCTAGTTCTTTTGTAAAAAGTCCGGTTAGGCGTTTGTCCATAACCGTTTTTGTGCTTCTGAACCAGTCTATCGAACCAGTTTGGTCCAGTTCTAGGTGGCTGTTGATATGGTCTAGAACTGGATTGTCCTTGGGTTCTTTTATCCTTAAAGGGTTGGTTCTGAAAATTTGATTTTTGATTAGATCGGACATCCTTTGGAACATATCCGAGACCTGCAGTCTCGTTTACTTTCTTATTGTGCTGAGAAGGACCAGTTCCAAAATGATGTCTAGACCTGGTTTTGTTCGTTGCACTATAGGATTGATATTCCGGCCTATTTTTAAAATCAGTGCACTCGGCAACAAGACGATGAAGATGATCAATTAAACAACCAACACTCGGTATTTTTGAGAGAAGCTTTTCATCATGATCAACTTGTTTGTTCATACTATCGAGCTTAAGAGAACAAATAATTTGATCTTGTTCTAGAACCACTTCACTGTACTTAAGCCTTTCATCTACTAACTCTCCCACTTTTGTTTCAAGCCTTACTTTGGCTCTCGTGGCTTCCTCGAGTTTAGACTCAAGCTCAGTGATACGTGATTTAAGATGATCATTTTCGGAAAGACTTTCATTAAGCTCAATAGTCAACCTTTTGAAAATTTTCCGAGTTTTGGTTTTGGATAGAGAATCAAACTTGGATAGAAAATTTTCAAAGTTTACCTCAAAGCTTTCTTGGTCGGATTCCTCGTCGGAGAGTGCCATAAGACATAGACCCGCATGATTGGAGTTCTTATCATTTTCTTCTTCTTCATCATCGGATGAGTCTCCCCATGCGGCCATCATTGCCTTCTTGAGATCTCTATTGAAGCTTTTATCTTCACTGAACCTTCGGTTGGAACTGGACTTGTTCTTGTCGTAGGTTTTCTCATTTTTCTTTTGTGGGCAGTCCTTAGCCCTGTGTTCAAAGGAACCACAAACAAAACAACCTTGGTTATTAAAGGATTGAGTATTCTTTTTACCTTGTTTGGTACGGTTGTTCTTGAATTTCCGGTACATCCTTCCAAATTGTTTTGCAAACATGCTCATCTCGTCATCCGATTCACTTTCAGTTTCTTCTTCTTCCTCTCGTGCCTTTAGAGCTATTCCTCTTTCTCGTCTAGCATTCTCGGCATCTTGTTCTTCTTGAAGACCCAGTTCATATGTTAAGAGTGATCCAGTTAGGTCTTCAAGCGTCATGGTGGATAAATCTTTTGCTTCTTCAATGGCCGTGGTCTTAGGCTTCCATACCGGGGGCAGGCTTCTCAAGATCTTTCTTACTTGATCTTCTACAGTAATCTCTCTTCCAAGGGCTGAAAGCTCATTGATGATATTAGTAAAACGTGTAATCATATCCTTAATTGACTCTTTTGGCTTCATTACGAATAATTCGTAATTACGCATGAATATGTCAATCTTAGATTTTTTTACACGTGAGGTTCCCTCATGAGTGACCTCGAGCAAATCCCACATTTGTTTTGCAGTCTTGCATCCTAGAACCCGATTGTGTTCGGCAGGACCAAGACCACAAATTAAATATTTAAGGGCTTGGGCATTATGTTCGAGTTTCTCATAGTCTTCAGAAGTATATTCAGTTTTAGGTTTAGGAACAACATTACCTTCGGCGTTTCTCTTTGTGATGGTATTATCACCACTTTCTATAACATTCCAAACCTGATAGTTATCGGCCTTGATAAAGTTCTCCATCCGACTCTTCCAAAATTGATAGTATTTGCCATTGAACAATGGTGGTCGTTGAGTCGAGTACCCTTCTTCTAGTCGGTCAACCGTATTCATTCTTCCGGATCTCTTCCCAAGGTATTAGCCTTTATGTGGTGAAGACCGGCTCTGATACCAATTGATGAAAACGGTTAGCAACACAAGAGGGGGGGGGGTGAATTGTGTGTGTGTGGAACCGTGGCAGTTTTTCGCCGAGTTCTAGTGTGGGATAGAGGGAATTGCAAAATAGTAAAGTGCACAAGAATTTAACGAGGAAAAATCCCTTGGCTCAAAGGGATTAAAAAACCTCGACCTCCCTCGGAGGAATTTTAAACAACTTCACTAAACAAGCCTTTGAAAGAGTTACAAGAGTGATTCTCCTAATCTACCCTTGAGCCTCCCCAACTCTATCCTCTCTTAGGAAGAGTTATGCATCTCTACCTTGCGGGTAGAGAGCCTCTCAGCTTTGTCACAAAGCTCTCACACACACTTAACCCGAGGCAGCTACTCTAGCCAATTAAGCCTCACTAGTCTAAGTACAATATGAAAGGGAAAGAAGAAACTCTATCTAGAACTCCGAGCAGGCAGTTTCAGTCGCCAAGGACTTGATCTTTTCTTGAATGATTCTTCTAAGTATTTTTCTCAGTTCAGCTACACCTTCTTGTTTATACTGCTCGAGTATATATAGTTTGGTAGAAGATGTCCGTTGATCTTCTTTTCCTTAGAAGCTTGGTAGACTTGCCTTGATATTTTGAATTACCTTCCTTATGCAATATGTCTCAATGTTCAAGCAAAAGGCATATATCATTTATATTGACATTCCAATAATATACGAGATATGAGGAAGCATAACAAGGCAATAATGCAAGCATCTATTGTATGCAACGGTCAACATACTTTTCAAAATATTTATTAGAAAATATCTTTTTATGGTCAATCAAAGCGTATGCTATCAAAAAGATTCCACTCTAAGGCAACAAAGCTTTTTGCATAAATATATTACAGGCTCGATCAACTAATGCAAAGATGGCAAGTATATCAAAGGAAATTTTCCTTTCTTATCATGCAACGGTCATAACTTATTTATAAGTAAAGATTCCTTCCACACACACAATTCGGATGTAACAGATTCCTTTCCATAAAACGAGACCTTTAATATTAGTAAGAATACTCATGGTAAGAAAAGCTTTCTCAAATATTTGGTATCTTTTAATAAGCTCCGGTCAGCCAAATATGATTAATATTAAAGATATATTCTATAGGATATACAATCACGTATGGGAAAGTATTATGGGCAAGTTTAATATAGCACGGTACTATCGTAAGTACTAGACCAGTTCTTATCCTTTGTTCCTGCATGGTTAGTTAATCAAGTAGCTCAAATATGATTAAAGATCGGGTCTATCCTTAGTTCCTGCATGGTTAGTCATCAACAAAACAACATATTCAACAAACTGATTCCCACAAACGGCGCCAGTGTTGAGTTTAATCCAACACGATATAGTAAATATATGTATAAATGTGTATGAACAACTCAGTTTTTACGTGGAAACCCGAAAGGGAGAAAACCACGGGACTTTTTAGGCTAATGTCCAAGCCCTCTCAATTCTCATTAGGCTCTCCTCACCATTACATAGTACATTTTGAGCTCCATTCATGGAGTATTTGAGCTATTCTAGAGGGAGAAGGAAGAAGGAACCCCCTTACATGGAGGGAAAACCTCCTATAAATAGGGGAAGGGGAGAAGGGGCTCTCCACCCTAATGGGCCAAACGGGCTAGAGTGGGCCCAAATGGCTAAAGTGGGCCGGATGGGCCGAAATGGGCCTAGCTGCTCGGGCTCCGTACTACGTAAAGCCTTGGACTCATGAACAGTAATAGGCCGGGATAATATATCCCAACAATCCGTAATACGTGGTGGATGCACAGGAACATTATCATCTGGATCATGAGATAGAGAAGCCAAGTTTGCACTAAAAGGAAATTGGGATTCATCAAAACGTACATCCCTCGAAATAAATTGTTTTTGTGATTCCAACTCCATCACTTTCCATCCTCGTTGAGTATAAGAATACCCCAAAAAAACACATTTTCTACTTATTTGCTCAAATTTATCAGAACTTTTGCAATGAGCATAACACAAACAACCAAACATTTTAATATGATCATAGGATGGCACGGTCCCATACAAACATTCAAAAGGAGTTTTACCATTATTCACCATAGACGGTGTTCTATTAATCAAATAGCAAGCAGTTAACACACACTCTCCCCAATATCGAATGGGTAGATTAGCCTGAAACCGCAAAGCACGGGCCACATTAAGAATATGACGATGTTTTCTTTCAACTCTCCCATTTTGCTGAGGCGTCCCAACACATGATGTTTGGAACAAAATTCCATTATCAAGGAAATAATTTTTCATCGGTAAAAACTCAGTTCCATTGTCAGCCCGAACAACTTTAACTGTGGTTTGAAACTGATTTTTAACCATTGAAAAAAAATGTTCCATAATTTTAGTCACTTCCATCTTTCCTGCCATCAGATGAACCCATACTGCACGCGAATAATCATCCACAATAGTAAGAAAATAATAAGCGCCACACGTGCTAGGTTCGCGATAAGGACCCCATACATCACAATGAATGAGATCAAAAATATGTAAAGCACGGTTCAAACTAGAAGGAAATATTTCGCGTGTCTGTTTAGCACGAGCACATATATCACAATTCTTATTAAAAACAGTATCATTCCCAAGATTATTACGACACATAGAAAGCAATCGTATCACCCGTCGTGAAGGATGACCCATGCGTTTATGCCATAAATCTTCTGAATCTTCGCTAGTCACATGTGAGGCCTGCACAGATCCCACTCCACACAGATAATAGACCCCCCCATGACGTTCACCCACTCCAATCAGCGTCTTCAAAGTGGGGTCCTGTATCACACAAAACTTGTCAGTAAATATTACATGACATGAAAAATCATCAATAAGTCTTCCGACTGAAATCAAATGGCACGTCAGATTTGGGACCAAAAGTACTCTTTCAAGATTCACTCCTCCCCCTAACTTCACACGTCCAATATGACTTGCAAAAGTTACATTTCCATTCGGTAGGGTCACAGATACAGAATTTACAACACTTAAGTCACACATCATATTTTTATCTCCCGTCATATGGTATGATGCCCCTGTATCAAGAAGCCATTTAAAACGAGTCGTACCTGACAGTTTCTCAAGGTTATCACCTGCCTTATATTTTTTCATGAACTCCAACAGTGAGTTCCATTGGTCTACCGTGAAAGTTGGGAACTCCTTGGGATCCGGATGTGAGCTTCCTTCACCCTCTGGAATTGTGCCAACAGCATTTGCCTGGACTCCAGGTGTGCGACGTCCACCCTCCTTTGTCAACGACCCAATTTTTTCTTTTCCATTTCCGCCTTTGTTTCCTTTCCACCACTCCGGATACTGACCCGTGAGTTTGAAGCAGCTATCTCGTTCATGTCCCCCCTTCTTGCAATACGAGCACATTAGCTTACTCTTGTCCTTCGCCGGAGTTGACTGCCACTTGCCGCCCGTTCGCATTGCAAAGGCCGCTGCTTCTTGTACATCTGCTTGTCCTCGAGTAACCTTTTGAAGCCTCTCTTCTTGGAGAATGATGTTATACACTTTATTAAGTGTTGGGAGTTCAGTCGTACTCAGAAGGTTGGAACGCAGTGTCCCATAAACTCTACTATCCAGCCCCAGAAGAAACTCATGAATCTTTTCCTTCTCAACACTTTCCAGAAATTGTTTTTCTAGGTTACACTTGCATCCTCCGCAGGTACACTTTGGGATTTTTCTATACCCGTCATAGTCGTCCCATATGGTTTTCAGCCTTCCGAAATACATTGTGACGTTATCGCCACCTTGTTTACACTCTTGGAGAGCCTGTTTCAATTCGTGAAACCTCATGTCGTCTCCCGCTTCAAAGCGAGTCTGCAGATCCTTCCACAAATCTTGGACTGTGTCCAAGTATGCAATGGTATGACGAAGGTTGGGTTCAATCGATGACATAAGCCATCCCACCGCCATTGAGTTCACTGTGTACCAATCCTCTATCCCAGCTTTATCTTCTGGTATGGTGATGGAGCCATCAAGAAAACCAAGCTTCCACTTGGCCCGAAACGCATTTCGCATGGCAATTGACCATTCGCGGTAATTCTCTTCTCCCCGGAGCGTGATGCCACAAATGTTCACGCCCGGTATATCGGAGCTATGGAGGTAATATGGAGAACCAGGGTCATTGATTCTCCTGCTTTCTGTTTTTGGTGCTTCCGACGATTGTGGATTCGTCATCGTGGTTGTTTAATCGCAATATTCAGTCGCACGACGTAGGATCAAGATGCCGGCTCTGATACCATATTAGCGCAGAGTAATAGCGCAGAAGAATAGAAAGGAAATAATATCAAAGTAGTATATTCTTCATATGAATCGTAATACAGAGGTCCGTATATATACAAGCTCAAGAAGGTAAAAATATGGTAACTACAAGGCCTAAGACTTAGCCTAAAATAACTCCATTCCGTAGATACAATAGGAGCCTGATTAAATAATAAGGAAAGAATTAAATACAATAATATTTGCACAGAAATAACAAACTATAGTCTCGTACAATTATATACATAGTTTAGAAATCTAAGATTTTGAAAATATTGTTTATATATACACTAGTCTACTAAAGCTCATTTGTCATTTTTTGGGAAAGCTCATTTGTCATTTTTTGGGAAAGCTCATTTGTCATTGAACATCCTTTTGTATTTTAATGTTATCACGAAGAGATTTTTTTAAAACGTTGTACGTTAAAATTGTGCACAAATTTCAAGGCTTAATTTTTATAATTAGGACAATATATATCCCTAAATGAACTAATAAGATAATCGAGAATTGAAGCAGAGATGGATACCAAATAACTCTAATATTTTTTAAGTTCTAACGAGTAATGACTATGCACCGATGAACAGAGTCCAGATGGAGATATCATCGATTGTGTGCACATATCAAAACAGCCTGCTTTTGATCACCCACTACTGAAAGACCAAAAAATAAAGGTCCTTTCTTCCATCTTTTCCTACCCATGTTACATGCATCCTTATTCTTATATACTTCATCCCGGATTTTGACAATTTTCTATTTATGTCTACAAATTTTTGCCACTTTTCTTTTACAGTATTGAATTTGTGTTTTTTTATTTCTCTTTTCTCTGTACAAATGTCAATCACACAATTTTTACTTTTCTTATTCCACATTCAAATCAAAGTATACAATGTTGAGTGAGACAGATGGATTATATCTGAAAAGTGCGATCTAATTGGTTTTGTTTATGAAAATGGCGGGTACATGACTTGAACATCATGCATCATTAGATGAGGCCAAGCTACCATCCGGCTGAGGGGCAATTCGATGCAAACAAAGAGTCAACAAGAGTCTACGCTAATAAAGAAGTGACAAATGATACAAAAACAATAGTGAGTCAGTTGTGGCATAAGAATGGGAAGTGCCCTTTGGGCACTATTCCTATAAGGAGAACAAAAGAAGAGGATGTTTTAAGGGGTGGAAGTTTGGTGAAAATGTATGGGATGAAGAAGCACGGTAGCTTTCCGATCAAGCTCGAAGATGACCCCAACGACGGGTCTAGAGGTGCACGTTATGAGGTAAAAATGAAATTCCAAATGTTGGTTGAAATATTTATATATAGTTATGATACTGATTTGCTTCATTTAAGAGTTAAGGTAATAAAATTAAGGAAGTACTAATAATTGTTAAGGCACCGTACATTTACACATTTTACGCATCACAAGTCAGTGAGTCACAATTATTTGAACTTACTAGACACTTACATGTCATTCACATGGACTTTGTAGCATGTTGTACAATATCCGGATAGAAAAGTCAATTAATCTCTCACCATATATGTATAACTGTAGAAACAAAGTCTTAAGATAGAGCCTTTTTTGCGCACTTTGTAAGCACGTTTAACTTGGAGTTCTTAGCAAATGCACTTAAAGGAGATGCACATTATTGGTATGAATAGTACTATTAATCCTCTTATGTTAAAATCTAACTTTGATGCCATATGTACTGGGTGGGTATGTGCAGCATGCAATAGCATATGTTGGGGACGCGAAGAGCGACAAGTATCATGGATCAAAAGTAACTATTAATGTTTGGGAACCACATGTTGAGCCTAACGAGTTTAGCTCGTCGCAGATGTGGATATTGGGTGGCTCGTTAAATGGACGCCTTGAAAGCATTGAAGCTGGTTGGCATGTACGTATGCTTTGGTTATATACTCATTAGTCATCTCATTCAAATTATTTTTAGTACGTAGTATTATATTGATATCTTCTTAAGTACGAGAAGAAATTTAATAAATGTTTGTGATTCCTTCTGCTTAAAAAAATGATTTTTAGTGACGACTTTAGAGAAAGTGTTTAGTATTGTCCACTTTGTCTCCTCATATTTGTCCCATTTTAACTTTTTATGTCCTACTGAGTTTGTTTATACTATATTTGATACCGAGTAATATTTTGATGATTACAATTTGTTGTTACTTTACATTTTATCAATTCAATATCAACCATACAATTCCACTTTTTCTAGTAACACCACTGCACTCTCTCTTGTCCGAATGTCAATAGAACAAATAGTAAAAGTTAGTAATATTTGCAAAAAGTGCTTTGTGTTGGGTGTGTTTCGGAAAATAAAGAAAATTAATTAAAATAAATTAATTAAATAAATTGACTAGAGAAAAACAAGAAAGGAGATGAAGCAGAATTAGTCAAAGCTCGTGCTACGCACGATGTCCTTAAAACGTATTTGTTGTCTCCCACGGTGCTAGGAGCATTGCAACAATAGTTTCCCAGGATACGATGACTACGAACTAATGTTTTAGCACACAAACAAGAGTTCCAGCGAACGTGACCAAAGACTGAACACTCAGGAATTTTTCAGAGAGACTGGAGGTGTTTTTAGCTGAAGAAATACGTGAGCTCGTGTAAGAAAGAACGTGTGAAAACGTGTGTTGTTGCAAACCACCTGCCAACCTTTATATAGGAGGATTTGTTGTGTGTAAATGGTGAATTAATGGACCTGAACGTTGGACATCAATGACCAGTCCGTTGGGCATTGAATCGTCCATGAACTATCCATTTAACGCTGCATTAAAAGATAAGAACGTTGGGCATTTATTGCTGTAACGGTTCAGAACGCGACCAGAAGACCTCCCAACAGAACACCATACACCGAGGTGTCCTGGTCGAGGGTTTCTGTCCGGAGCCACCAGAACACCATACCGAGGTGTTCTGGTCGAGCCCTTCTGTCCGGAGCCCTTCTACCGCTAGGCACTTCTGTCATTGGGAAAAAATAAACATTTCAGGAAGAAAACAAAAATTAACTGTATCTCTTGAGAGATAGATTTTTGGACGACATTCGTGTCCGCAGGTTGCCCGCGCACGCAAGTCGTTGTTTTTCTTCTCCGATTTCGGGATTTGATTTGAACCCCCCCTGCGCGCGTGGAGAGAGCCTTTACCCTTAGGAATCTTAACTCCATAAGGGGGGAGTCCCTTTATAAAGGGTTGCAAATCCCTTGGGTTTTCCGGTGTGGGAAATTAACACACTAGAAACTCATACTTTTTCCCAGTTTTTCCATTCTAACGGGTAAACTTCGAAAAGCGATTTCTCATTCACCCGTTATCCGTTTTGAGCATACCATATATCGAATTGTATCCCTTAACAAGGAAAATCCGAAACCACTTTGACCCGACCCAAATCGGAAGTGGATCCCACTCAAAAAATTGCCCCAAAATTACCATTTAATGCAACTTTTCACACATTTTTCCAACAATCCCCCACATGAATGAAAATTGATTTTCGAGACTTAAAAAGACACGAAGATAGGAGGACACATTGTGTTCACCGGATGATCCTTGCATACGGAGAGGTAGGTTTAATCCTTTGAACCTTCCGCTGTAAAGACACGTTTATTTACTGGCTGTCTAGTAGACTTGATGTCCTTGAACTATACTGCCGTCGTGTAAACATTGACTTATCTTTACACAAGAACCTTCCAACTTTGTTCCGTTCTCATGGGTGTGCCCGTTTTGGCCATGGGTCACCGTCCTGGTTCTGCTAGAGTTTCTAAAGAACTGAGCCTTTACAGTTCTCCTTTGAAGCGGCCCTCTTCTCTCTCACATAGGTGATTCTTTCACGAGTATCCCGCATACTCTTCCAATGTTATCGAGTAGATCAACATTTTAGAATCATTAAAGCAAACGTTTTTGCTAACCTTGTGCGGGAGTCACTGTTTCAACGAGGAGTGGGTAGGAGTGCGGGACCCCCACAGTGACCATCCTTCGCTCTATAATTTAGTTGTCCCATTTGAACCTAGGACCAACTAGGTTGGGTATCCACTATAGAACTTTTCAACTCACGGGATTTAGTCCCATTCCTCGTGACAACTTCTCCAACAATTCTCTATCCAATGCCTTGGTTAGCGGATCCGCTATGCTATCCTTTGACTTCACGTAGTCAACAGTGATAACACTCGTTGTGAGGAGTTGTTTAATGGTGTTATGTCTACGACGAACGTGTCTAGACTTACCATTATAGAGATTGCTCTGTGCCCTTCCAATTGCCGCTTGACAATAGCAATGTATGCATATTGGAGGGACAGGCTTCTCCCAACTTGGAATATCCTCGAGAAAATGGTGTAGCCATTCAGCCTCTTCAGTGCACTTATCCAAGGCTATTAGCTCAGATTCCATCATATATCTAGCTATTAACGTTTGTTTCGAGGATTTCCACGACACGGCTGCACCTCCCAAAGTGAAAACATATCCACTTGTGGACTTTGATTCCTTAATGTCCGATATCCAACTAGCGTCGCTATACCCTTCAAGTACAGCTGGATATCGTCCATAGTGCAGTCCAAGGTTTTGGGTTTTTCGTAAATACCTCAAAACCCTTACTATTGCCTTCCAGTGTTCATCACCGGGGTTGCTAGTATATCTACTAAGCTTACTAACCACAAAGGCAATATCAAGCCTGGTACAACTCATTAGATACATTAAACTGCCAATAATCCTAGCGTATTCTACTTGAGAAATAGACTCTCCACGATTTTTGGTCAGATGTACGTTTTTATCTACTGGCGCCCTTGCCTCTTGATAATCATCCTTATTAAATTTAGTAAGGATTTTATCCACGTAATGGGATTGGCTTAGCGTCAGACCGTCAGGTCCTCTAATTATTTTGATCCCAAGGATTAAATCGGTCAGCCCCATATCCTTCATGTCAAATTTAGAATTTAACATGCTTTTGGTAGAATTAATCATTATATTATTGCTACCCACGATGAGTATATCATCCACGTATAAACATAAAATGACATAGCCGTCTACCGTGCTTTTCACATAGACGCATTTGTCACTTTCGTTTATTTTAAACCCATTAATTAACATTGCATGATCGAACTTTTCGTGCCACTGTTTAGGGGCTTGCTTCAATCCGTACAATGATTTAATTAATTTACAAACCTTCTTTTCTTGGCCTGGAACACGAAAACCCTCAGGTTGTTCCATATAGATTTCTTCGTCTATATCGCCGTTTAGAAAAGCGGTTTTTACGTCCATTTGATGAACTTCCAAATTCCGCAAAGCGGCAATTGCCAGTATCATCCTAATGGAATTTATTCTCGTCACCGGAGAATACGTGTCAAAGTAATCATGGCCTTCACGTTGCTTGTATCTCTTTATTACAAGTCTGGCCTTATACTTATAAATGGAACCGTCCGGTTTCATTTTACGTTTAAAAATCCACTTGGATCCCAAAGGTTTACATCCCGGAGGGAGATCAACCAATTCCCATGTGTGATTTTTTAGGATAGAGTCCACCTCACTTTTGATGGCTTCTTTCCACATTGGTCCTTCGGTAGACGTTACGGCTTCCGTATAAGTCCGTGGCTCTTTTTCTACCAAACATGTTAGAAAATCCGGTTCATTTTCTACCATACAAGTTAGAATATTCGAATCGAATTCTACCAAGTATGTGAGAAAATCCGGTCCAAAGGATTTTTCAACTCTAGCACGTTTGCTACGTCGGGGTTCGGGTTCTTCACCGGATCCCTCGCTAGTATTTTCCATAGCTACGTCAAACGTTCGTTTTGACGTGCTAGGTCCATCGTTGGACTTGCATGGAAATACGTATTCAAAGAATGATGCATTCCTTGACTCAATTATTGTGTTTTTATGTACATCCGGATTATTCGAATCATACACTAAAAACCGATAAGCACTACTATTTTGTGCATATCCAATAAAAATACAATCCACCATTTTTGGACCTATTTTTATTTTCTTAGGTGTTGGTACAAGCACCTTAGCAAGACACCCCCACACTTTTAAATATTGATAGGAAGGCCGTCTGCCTTTCCACAACTCGTACGGAGTTTTATCATATTTTTTCCGGGGAACCTTATTTAAAAGGTAATTGCTTGTCAAGATTGCTTCGCCCCACATATTTTGTGGCAGGCCCGAACTTACTAGCATCGCATTCATCATATCTTTCAATGTGCGATTCTTTCGTTCGGCAACACCGTTTGATTGAGGTGAATAGGGTGCGGTACGTTCGTGTACTATACTCAAGTTTGCGCAAAAGTCACCAATTGGTGCTTCATACTCACCACCTCGATCACTCCTAACCGTTTTAATCCGTCGATTAAGTTGGTTTTCCACTTCATTCTTATAAAGAATGAATTTATCGATTGCTTCGTGTTTATTTTTCAATAAATAAACATAGCTATAGCGAGTGCTATCATCGATAAAAGTAATAAAATATTTATTGCCGCCACGTGTTTGTATTGATTTAAAATCACAAACGTCACTATGAATTAATTCTAGTGGTTCCGTTTTTCTTTCAACCAATTTGAAAGACGTTTTCGTTAGTTTTGCCTCAACACAAATATCACATTTGTGCTTCACATCAATTTTGAATTTAGGAATGTGTTCCATGTTAATTAATCTACGTGTAGAATTAAAATTAACACGTCCTAGTCTACCATGCCACACATTGGAAGACTCAAGCAAATAAGCAGAAGAGACTTTATTATTATTTTTAATAATAGTCATTACATTGAGCTTAAACAGCCCATCACATGCATACCCCTTGCCCACATACATTCCCGACTTGGACGAAACTAATTTGTCCGACTCAAAAACCATACGAAAGCCATGCTTGTTCAACAACGAACCGGAAATCAGGTTTTTGCGTATCTCCGGAACGAACAGCACTTGGTTAAGAGTCGGCTCCTTGCCCGAAGTCATCTTCAGGACCACCTTGCCCACGCCTTCCACCGCGGAATGAGCCGAGTTTCCCATCCACACCTTCTCACCATTTGATGGCTCAAAAGTTGTGAATAACTCCCGGTTAGAGCAAATGTGCCGGGTTGCACCGGTTATCCTCTTCAATCTGCAGACGGAGGATCAATTGCTCCAAGTTCATTTCCTTTCGCTTATGCTTAAGGTAGTTCTTGAAATCCTTTCAAGCCGGCGGCAACAAATGAATAATTGACGCCACTTGGAACGACTCACTAAATGTCATTCCTTCATCTCGAATTTTGTTGAAGATCATTTGCATCTCCTCAACTTGACTCAAGACCGTCTTCGAATCCACCATTTTAAAATCAAGGAATCGACCAACAACAAATTTCTTTGCGCCGGCATCCTCGCTTTTATATTTGTGGTCCAAAGCATTCCATAGCTCCTTAGCCGTATCTAATTTGCTATAAACGTCATACAAAGCATCGTGCAGCCCATTCAACACATAGTTTCGGCATAGGAAGTCAGAATGCTTCCATGCCTCAACCGCATTGAGAGATTGCACATCTACCCCACTCCCGGTCACAACCGGAGCTTCCTCGGTCAAGAAACGTGCAAGACCGAGAGTAGTGAGATAAAATAGCATCTTTTGTTGCCACCTCTTGAAGTTTAACCCATTGAATTTCTCGGGTTTCTCCACAGAGTTGCTTGGCACGGTCACCATAGGGATATCCCTTTGGTTGGCCAAAGCAGATGCACCGCGTTGTGAACTATTGTTCACCGGAGCTCCACTTTCAGAGTGATTGTCGTTCAGAACATTCTGCCCAACACCAATCTCGTTTTCTTGAGAAGTCATTTTCGATTTCTTAACGTTTTTCCGAAAACACAAAAAAGGTTTAAGTTCATTCACAGAAGTGACAAACTACGTTTTTAAGATTGTATCCGTATGATACAAGCTTAGCAACAAATACGTTTTAAGATTGTATACCTCGGTATAACAATCGAACAAATACGTTTTAAGATTGGTGGGTGTGTTTCGGAAAATAAAGAAAATTAATTAAAATAAATTAATTAAATAAATTGACTAGAGAAAAACAAGAAAGGAGATGAAGCAGAATTAGTCAAAGCTCGTGCTACGCACGATGTCCTTAAAACGTATTTGTTGCCTCCCACGGTGCTAGGAGCGTTGCAACAATAGTTTCCCAGGATACGATGACTACGAACTAATGTTTTAGCACACAAACAAGAGTTCCAGCGAACGTGAACAAAGACTGAACACTCAGGAATTTTTCAGAGAGACTGGAGGTGTTTTTAGCTGAAGAAATACGTGAGCTCGTGTAAGCAAGAACGTGTGAAAACGTGTGTTGTTGCAAACCACCTGCCAGCCTTTATATAGAAGGATTTGTTGTGTGTAAATGGTGAATTAATGGACCTGAATGTTGCACATCAATGACCAGTCCGTTGGGCATTGAATCGTCCATGAACTGTCCATTTAACGCTGCATTAAAAGATAAGAACGTTGGGCATTTATTGCTGTAACGGTTCAGAACGCGACCAGAAGACCTCCCAACAGAACACCATACACCGAGGTGTCCTGGTTGAGGGTTTCTGTCTGGAGCCACCAGCACACCATACCGAGGTGTTCTAGTCGAGCCCTTCTGTCCGGAGCCCTTCTGCCGCTAGGCACTTCTGTCATTGGGGAAAAATAAACGTTTCGGGAAGAAAACAAAAATTAAACGCTAGGCACGCAAGTCGCTGTTTTTCTTCTCCGATTTCGGGATTTGATTTGCACCCCCCCTGCGCGCGTGGAGAGAGCCTTTACCCTTAGGAATCTTAACTCCATAAGGGGGGGGAGTCCCTTTATAAAGGGTTGCAAATCCCTTGGGTTTTCCGGTGTGGGAAATTAACACACTAGAAACCCATCCTTCTTCCCAGTTTTTCCATTCTAACGGGTAAACTTCGAAAAGCGATTTCTCATTCACCCGTTATCCATTTTGAGCGTACCATATATCGAATTGTAGCCCTTAACAAGGACAATCCGAAACCACTTTGACCCGATCCAAATAGGAAGTGGACCCCACTCAAAAAATTGCCCCAAAATTACCATTTAATGCAATTTTTCACACATTTTCCCAACACTTTGTACCTTTCAAAAAGTGAAAGTTTGTAGTGCTTGGAAAATAAGTGTTTTTTATAATAGAAAGAATGAAAAACAGACTAAGGCAGTGTTTGTTTTCGACGGATTCTTGCCTACCCACTGCAAATTGCAGCGTTTTGCAGTTCAAAGCAATCAGCGGATTGCTCAAACCACTGCTATCCAAACGGGGCCTAAAACACCCACAACTTTTAGCTTTGAATGCTTAATGCCGTAATTTGAGTAGAAGTTATTACTTGAAAATTAAACATAAAAACATTAATTTTTTGTGCTAACACTGACCTCATGTACAATGATGGCCTCTACAGGTTCGCCCAGAGCTCTACGGTGATAACAACCCAAGACTCTTCACTTATTGGACTGTATGTTCACTAGCTATGGACGACTTTCTAAATTTCATTTATTACATGTAATTATGATGTAAAATCACAGTATTAGTATAAACAAACTATTGGTATATATCTATACGAGCTATATACCAACTTTACTCTAACGCACAAAAAAGCTAGACTTATTCAACATGACATGTGTATTAAGAATGGTGAAATGAGGGGGGAAATGAATAAAAAAGAATGGTGAAATGAGAATATTGTTACACAACAAGTTTATTAGATCGATTTATATAGAAATACTCTGAACAAATTAATTAACATGTTTTTTCACCCTAAAAATTTGCAGATGGATACATACAAAACCACAGGTTGCTATAACCTTCTCTGTTCTGGGTTCATTCAGATAAACAATGAGATAGTAGTGGGTGCTAGCATTTCCCCGTTTTCAACTTATGATTACAAACCGCAGTACGATATCTCTGTGTTAATATGGAAGGTATGCGCATTCCAACTCAAGCAATTTTATTTCCCATGCCATAATGCCATCATCAGGGGCCACTAATTAAGGCACTAATTCATTTCATATAGGATTGACTGATTTAGCATGCATGGGTAGTATGGATATAGTATTTCATATACAAATAATTCCCATTTGGTTGGTCTAAATTAAATCTAATATCTACTCTCTAAATACATAAAAAAACATATTTGTTATGTTAATCCAGTTTTTTTATTCCAACAAGAATCAATATTATTTCCCTCCACGCGTTTTATTTGCATATGATTAATAAAACGTTGGTGTATTCCAAAATAGAACTTCCATGCTTTTATTCCCTAAATACATATCATTACTGCCATGTTTTGGAATTACTACACTTTAAACATGAAAAATATTTTCCAAATTTGGAATTTAGGAAATAAAAATATGACAAAACTATTTAGAAAATAAAAATATGACAGTCTTATTTTGAAATTTACTCTTGTAACATGCTTTTATTCCGGTAGCTAGTTACTTATAACATGCTTTTATTCCGGTAGCTAGTTACTTTTGTAAGGTTGTAATATGAGAAATACTTCATTTCACCATTTGTAAAAAACATTACGTAGCTTAGGGTACTACATAATAATTTGGGGCCCACATAAAAGTGAGCCCATGTGTTAAGCACCCAATGCACCTCCTAAAAGACTGTCATAAACTAATCATAGTAAATGGACGTCAAATTAAATTAATGGCGCTGAAATATGTGGTCCACTTCTTCGCGTGTAGTATCCGCTTCTATCTCCCATATTTTAAAGCGTGTGTTAATGGAGGGCATGTATGTCTTTAACATAACCCATCACCTCTTATGGGGTTTTATTTTCTGAATTGTATATCTTGAAAAATAGACATCAATACCCAAGAATAAGGCCATCTCCAACAAGCACCATCTTCAACACCAAAATGGAGTATTTGGCAAAAAAATGCTCCAACAATGACACCAAACTTTACACCATTACACCAAAATGGGGGAGGGGGGATGGCTTTACGCCATATATGGCGTACGCCATTTGTGGCACCATTCACTTTTTGTAATTTTTTTTCTTTCAAATGTGACCCAAAGTTTTGATTATTATAGTTTTGACCCATTTTTAAAACAACAAATTAGGATGTTTTACTTGGACCGAAATTTGTTGGTCCGGTGTGGTCTGAATTGATGTGGCCTGGTCTGATTTCTTTGTATTTTTATAACCCTCTTATGGGGTTTTATTTTCTGAATTGTATATCTTGAAAAATAGACATCAATACCCAAGAATAAGGCTATCTCCAACAAGCACCATCTTCAACACCAAAATGGTGTATTTGGCAAAAAATGCTCCAACAATGACACCAAACTTTACACCATTACACCAAAATGGGGGAGGGGATGGCTTTACGCCATATATGGCGTACGCCATTTGTGGCACCATTCACTTTTTGTAATTTTTTTTCTTTCAAATGTGACCCAAAGTTTTGATTATTATAGTTTTGACCCATTTTTAAAACAACAAATTAGGATGTTTTACTTGGACCGAAATTTGTTGGTCCGGTCTGGTCTGAATTGATGTGGTCTGGTCTGATTTCTTTGTATTTTTATAACTACCCAAGTTTGGTCTAGTCCGGTCTGATCTGATCTGAAACAAATTACAGTCCAAGTAAAAACATCCTTATACAACAACAATAAAAACTATTAATTTGATAAAAAAAAATATAATAACATTTAAATAACACAATATTATAAATAAAGTTTCAAATCCAAACAACATAATGACAGAAAACAAATGGTACTTAAGAAAATAACATAATTAAAATTACAATTAATAACACCATTATAATAAAAATTAAAACATAATTAAAAACATACTTAGTACATACTAATTTAGGTGATGATCCTCCTTCTTGAGATTTTTTTTTTGTAAAATTCTTGATCTTTCTGCAATGATATACGCTCGCGTTTGTGGATCGTGAATAGAATTCAAATCCATGAACATAATTTTATCTTCTCTTTTCTGTTCTTTGTGTGCCATATTTTGTCGCTGGATTTGCAATTGTTCCTGTCGATCTAACTATGATTTCTTCAACATCTCTATAAGTTGCTCATTGTCGCTCTTAACTGACTTAAGCAAATCAGTAGTGTCTTCATCATTTTTCTTCTTCAATTTTGCTTTTTTTACCCCTATTGGTCGTTTTGAAAAATTTGACCCGGAATGAGTATCAACTTCTTTATTGAATGAAGATGACAATCCAAGTGATGAGGAAATTGGAGATGGTGGATGGGAGTCTGATTGGGAAGATTCATAATTAACTTGTCTTTTTTTTGGAGCAACATGTCTTGCAGTTGACACATTATCTTTAAATTTTTCAAATTTTTTAATTTGATCCCAAACGTGATCAAATTTAAAACCTTTGGAATATTTTGGATCTTGCATAAATAAAACTTTAGCACGATCCAGCTGCAAATCATACAAATAAATTTGTATTACATAAAAGTAAATAAATTATTGAAAATAAAATTTATATTATACTTACAATATCTTTTTCAGAAGCACCACTTGGATTTAAATTCTCCACTTGCTTCACGCACCCATTTAGCTTCTGTGCCTGAGTAGTTATTGTATCCATTCTTGAATGCAGTGAACGTGTATTACGTTGCTCGTGATTTTGTTGACGCAGTTCATTGTACTTAGCTTCAACTCGTGACCAAAAATCATTTGCAGATTGATATCTGCCGATGATTGGGTCTTGAGTTATGTCTAAATACACTTGACACAATAATGTGTCTTCAGCTATGGTGTAACTGCTTGATCTTGAAGTCATTTTGCTCATAAAGGAAAAAAGATAGAATATAGATTGTGAGATAGAGGTTTTGATGTAGTGTGCTAATCCAGGACATCGGTATTTATAGAATGTATAGGTTGATAAGGAATCTTTATGTTACCCGATGGATGGATTTCCTTTTATTCAAAGCCATCGGATTCTTATCTTTTGAGATAAGCGTACTACTTGTCACACAATACTTACAATAATGTCAGGCACAAGTGGGTAGGGAATCATTACGTTACCCGATGGATGGATTTCCTTTTATTCAAAGCCATCGGATTCTTATCTTTTGAGATAAGCGTACTACTTGTCATGCACTACTTACAATAATGTCAGGCACAAGTGGGTAGGGAATCATTACGTTACCCGATGGATAAGCGTACTACTATTCATATGAACAAATTAACACATCAGATGGATCACCACATAAAAAAATGAACTTCAATATTGGAGCGTCCTCTTACATATCATCGTCTTCTTCTTCAGATGATGATGCTTTAGCGATGAACACTATAGCACAACTTGATGAAGAAGAAGAAATCATGATGGTGGCACTAAAAAACAACAACATCACAATAAGTCATTGTATTGGTGAGCTGAATACGCCTATTAGGCATGGTGGATCTGTTCATGGTCATGTGGTGATAGACTGTGATCGAGAAATGGGAGACCATAATTTGTTCATAGACTATTTCTCTCCAAATCCACGTTATGGAGAAGCATTATTTCGCCATGATATCGTATGTCGCGAGATTTGTTCCTACAAATAGTTGGTGCTGTTACAATTCATGACAACTATTTCCACCAACGAAGAAATGCAACAGGTAGACTCGGATTATCAGCTTTACAAAAAATAACAGCTGTATTTCGTATGTTGGCATATGGTGTGCCTGCGGATGCAACAGACGAGTACGTTAAAATAGGCGAGTCTATAACAATTGAAAGTATGAAAAGGTTTTGTCGATCTATTGTCCAAATATATGGAGGTCAGTATCTAAGAAGACCTAATGACAATGACATAGCGAGACTTCTTGACATTGGAAAACAACGTGGATTTCCAGCAATGTTGGAGAGTCTTAATTGCATGCATTGGAAATGGATAAATTGTCCAACAGCATGGGCAGGACAATATTCTGGTCGTAGTGGCTCACCAGCTATCATCCTTGAAGCTGTGGCAGATTATGATCTTTGGATATGGCACTCATATTTTGGAATACCAGGTAGTAACAATGATGTTAATGTTTTAGAGGCGTCCATTTAGCACAAGGAATTGCTCCTCCCGCTCATTATATTATTCAAGGAAAAGAGTATAATTTCGGTTACTATTTAGCGGATGGTATATATCCAAAGTGGTCAACACTTGTTAAAACAATTCATCAACCACAAGGTACAAAGAAGAAATATTTTGCCATGAGACAAGAAGCATGTAGAAAAGATGTTGAACGTGCCTTTGGAGTATTGCAATCCCGATTTGCAATTATCGCAGGACCTTCACATTTTTGGGAGAAAAAAGTCTTACACGACATAATGAGTGCATGTATTATTATGCATGATATGATAATAGAGAATGAACGTGATATACATGCACCAGTTGAAGATGTGAGAGATACACCAGTTCCAGATGTGGAAGTGGCAGTTGATCAGGCGGCACGGTTAACTCAATTTCTTAGCCGACATAACCAAATTCACGACAAAGACGCTCATATTGAGCTCCGCAATGCTTTAATTGATCATTTGCGGGAACAATTCTCAAATTCTGATAACTAAACTAAGAATGTCTATTTAATCTATTGCTTTAAGTTTAAGTAGTACTTTACTAATGACGTACAAATTATTGTAATATTACTGTAATGTTTAATTTTATGTGGTTTTAGCTTGTATTTGTGAAATATCTGAGGAATGCTCAGGTCCATCTGGAGGGACGGGAGGCTCTGTCCGAACTTTACTTTTTGGGGCCCTTCCCGGTGGAATTTTTTGATGAAATTTTGTTAGCACATTCTTCATGAAGTCTAGTTTATCCATACCAAATTTCAGCTAAACATTGAATCGGGAAGGCAGTCAAATGATTTTTGGAAGTTAACTGTGCACTTTATATACATATAAAACACGACCATCTTCCAAAAATCATTTGAGTGCCTTCCCGGTTGAATATTTAGCTGCAATTTGGTATGGATAAACTAGACTTCATGAAGAACGTGCTCAAAAAATTTCATCAAAAAATTCCACCGGGAAGGGCCTCTGATGGCCTCGGCCGGACGGAGGCTCCTGTCCATCCGGATGGACATGATCTTTTTCCGTGAAATGCGTGAAAATACATATTAAAATGATCTATTTTAATTTGTATGTGTGAAATAATGTGTGAAATGTCAAAATATTAAATGAGGGGCTAATGTATAAATATAAGATGGTAAGATACTTAAATAGAATAATGGTAAAAAGTTAGTAAAAAGAATAAAAAGAGAATATTCCTTTTTGGTGATGAAAATGGTGTAAAATGTTGGAGATAAAATACTGTTTAATGTGATGTTTACACCATTTTAGTGTAAAAAATGGTGTTAACGGTTGGAGATGGCCTAAGGGGTGTAAACAAGCTGACATGAGCTCGAGCTTGGATACTCGACCGTCTCAAAAGAGTATGGACTGGATTATATAATTTCAAACGTACTTGAGCATGGGATAGTAAAATAAATGAAAAAAAGTTTTGCAGTCACCGTGCGTTTATGAAATGTAAGTGCATTTCAACAATGTTCAGGTCAATAGAAAAATTAGATACAAATTAGAATGTGTAGGTGTTTCACGGTTAAAAGTATGCATGCATGTTTTATGCGTTTTAATTTGCACCCCTTATGATTAAGGACATCCATGTGCATGAGATGTTAACATGAATGTAGAAAAGTTTTTGAATAGTCAACGATGCTTTTATGTAATGCATGCGTGCATTTCGATAATGTTTAATGCATTCTGACTTTAAATTTTGCATAGTATACAAAACAAGGTTAATATATGTTGATTAATTCATTATATTGTATTTGTTAGAGGTCTCATGGTCAAAATGTTTGATAGTTTATGGAATGAGCAACTGCATTAGACAAGTGTGGACTATGACTTATATGTGTAGTATTGTATAATAAGTGATTGTTTTAAAATAGATTCCAAATTGACAATCCAAGAGATCCAAAAATCAAGTAATAAATGGCATAACAGAAGGTATATGAGAGAATTGATTGCTATTCAATACGAGAATGATTTAATTGAAGACCAATGTATTCAATTGTTCCAAAAGGTTGAATCGCCAACCCCAAGCGCCCCCCACGCCCCGACCCGACAAGACTTTTGGGAGGATGTAAGTCACGGTGACTCAGTCAGTAGAGTGGCAGTAGGCCCGTGCACCCGTGCGCACCAGAGGCCCAGCCTTATTTCAGGTTCTGTGACCTCCACTCGGCCGCTGCGGGGATTCGAACCTTGGTCATTGTTCCAAATTTCCCACCACTCGACCAACTGAGCTACCCGTGCGGGTGACCAATGTATTCAAAGTTACACTGAATGGCGCTTTGCCTTCTCATTACAGTGTCTGGATGCGATTACAGGCTTAGCAAAAGTTAGGTTATGGAAAACAAACCTTTAGATATATGATATCTGAATGTTAGCTGATCCTATCAAATAACTATTCTATTATTACACAAAATACAAAGATAACAAATGCAATTACACATGATAAAATGATTCCTAACACAAATGATGTTAAATGTTTTGTGATAGAATGTAAATTTTAGGACTAATAATGCTTCACAAAAAAATATAAATTACAATACAGAGACAATGTTTGGAATGGTGAATTTAGCATCATTGTTGTCAAAAATTGTGTGTAGATTTTAATCACGTGCAGTGGATGTTGTAACTATGAAATATGTAGAACAAAAGCGCAAGTTGTGTAAATGTGCAGTGTGGAGCAATATAAGTGATCAATTATTTTAAAATGGTCAATATTTAGGTTAAGAATTTTATGGTATGAGTGTATAGTAGAATATCAAAATGTGCACTTGGTCAATGTAAACAGTGTAAGTATGAAATATATATGTATTTTTATGGTAAATAGCTTATATTAAGATAACAATAACTTGCAAAAGAACATGTAAAAAGATATAAAAAACATGTAAAAGGATGTTCAGACAACTACAACTAACAACTATAACTAACTTGATCGCAAGACCAAGAAATAGATACAGAGTCGTGAAAAAACAACTTGACTCGGTAAACATAAAACTCCAAACATTCTATTTTAAATACCCGAGAAGGCCACCAAGGCTGGTGGGTTAAATGTCGGGAGAACATTTACCTATACTAGTTTAGAGTAACATGTTACATACTGGATAAAAGGGCAAAAATGCATGCCCATTACAAATGACCGAATTAGCCACAATGCCTATCAAATCCCCACAAATACCTCAGCTAACTACTACATAAAAACACCCAAATGTCCCAATCACATAGTCCAACTCAGTTAACATCAAAACAAGAAAAATAGCAAATTTGGTATAATAAAAAAATCAAAATAAAAACTAAAAACTGTCTTCCAAAAATGAGAGCTTGAGTCTTTCAAACACCGAGGCGAGCCTCTAAAATAGAGCTCGTCATTTCCCGTTCTTTTACCTACTCCGCACTAAATCATCATCGCCCTCCCTTCCTCCACCGCCAAGAACTGCCAATGAGGAACTAAGAGCATTATCGATGTTGCTCTTTGCCAGATGGATTGCCCCCTTCCCTAACTCCTAGCCTCACCCTACACGGTCAAAGATTAGTGAAATGTGCCTTGCCTCACCTTGCCTATTTGGATCTTACCATACAAACATATTCTTCCCACTAGAGTCACTGACCAGATGGATCAAACAATGCCAAGTCGGGCACATAAGATCGGCACAAGAAAAACCTGTGTTGAAGCGAGCGAAGCAGGCCGCTATGTAAAAATCCCTGGAGTCAAAGTTCAATACTTAGGAAATATGTATGTTGGTAATTGTAATCATGCAAATGCATTACTAAGATATGGT